GATTTAATCAATTAAAAGTACCCTTTTTGTGCCACCTTTTTCATGTGAGCTAATTATGTGAAACATTTCCATCAACCCTTTTTAAAAACCTTTATGTAGGGCTACAGTATATTTCTCATCATCATGCGGTCAATTAAAACTCATTTAAAATTATTTCAATTTAGTTAACACATGTAATTCAACCATTTCCTTTTATGAGTCTATTGTTCACTGTGCATTGTTCACTATCAAGCAACAAAACCAAAATTGCTGTTTTAAGACGTTCCTAATCACCCTCTGCTGTAGCTTTTGAAGTCACTGAGGTGCTGCAGATAGCAGTCTGTGGTTTTACAGATACAGTATACAGTGGGGGAAAAAAATATTTAGTCAGCCACCAATTGTGCAAGTTCTCCCACTTAAAAAGATGAGAGAGGCCTGTAATTTTCATCATAAGTACACGTCAACTATGACAGACAAATTGAGAGAAAAAAATCCAGAAAATCACATTGTAGGATTTTTTATGAATTTATTTGCAAATTATGGTGGAAAATAAGTATTTGGTCACCTACAAACAAGCAAGATTTCTGGCTCTCACAGACCTGTAACTTCTTCTTTAAGAGGCTCCTCTGTCCTCCACTCATTACCTGTATTAATGGGACCTGTTTGAACTTGTTATCAGTATAAAAGACACCTGTCCACAACCTCAAAGTCACACTCCAAACTCCACTATGGCCAAGACCAAAGAGCTGTCAAAGGACACCAGAAAAAAATTTGTAGACCTGCACCAGGCTGGGAAGACTGAATCTGCAATAGGTAAGCAGCTTGGTTTGAAGAAATCAACTGTGGGAGCAATTATTAGGAAATGGAAGACATACAAGACCACTGATAATCTCCCTCGATCTGGGGCTCCACGCAAGATCTCACCCCGTGGGGTCAAAATGATCACAAGAAAGGTGAGCAAAAATCCCAGAACCACACGGGGGGACCTAGTGAATGACCTGCAGAGAGCTGGGACCAAAGTAACAAAGCCTACCATCAGTAACACACTACGCCGCCAGGGACTCAAATCCTGCAGTGCCAGACGTGTCCCCCTGCTTAAGCCAGTACATGTCCAGGCCCGTCTGAAGTTTGCTAGAGTGTATTTGGATGATCCAGAAGAGGATTGGGAGAATGTCATATGGTCAGATGAAACCAAAATAGAACTTTTTTGGTAAAAACTCAACTCGTCGTGTTTGGAGGACAAAGAATGCTGAGTTGCATCCAAAGAACACCATACCTACTGTGAAGCATGGGGGTGGAAACATCATGCTTTGGGGCTGTTTTTCTGCAAAGGGACCAGGACGACTGATCCGTGTAAAGGAAAGAATGAATGGGGCCATGTATCATGAGATTTTGAGTGAAAACCTCCTTCCATCAGCAAGGGCATTGAAGATGAAACGTGGCTGGTTCTTTCAGCATGACAATGATCCCAAACACACCGCCCGGGCAACGAAGGAGTGGCTTCGTAAGAAGCATTTCAAGGTCCTGGAGTGGCCTAGCCAGTCTCCAGATCTCAACCCCATAGAAAATCTTTGGAGGAAGTTGAAAGTCTGTGTTGCCCAGCGACAGCCCCAAAACATCACTGCTCTAGAGGAGATCTGCATGGAGGAATGGGCCAAAATACCAGCAACAGTGTGTGAAAACCTTGTGAAGACTTACAGAAAACGTTTGACCTGTGTCATTGCCAACAAAGGGTATATAACAAATTATTGAGAAACTTTTGTTATTGACCAAATACTTATTTTCCACCATAAATTGCAAATAAATTCATAAAAAATCCTACAATGTGATTTTCTGGATTTTCTTTTCTCATTTTGTCTGTCATAGTTGACGTGTACCTATGATGAAAATTACAGGCCTCTCTCATCTTTTTAAGTGGGAGAACATGCACAATTGGTGGCTGACTAAATACTTTTTTCCCCCACTGTATGTCAGTAAGCGTATACGACCTCTTACAGAGAAATGCTTTGTTCTCAGAAAGATACACTATGAAAGTTTAGTTGTTGTTTTTATGCCAAATTTCTCCTTGAATATTGGCTGTAATAGCTCATATCCATGATATCCATCTATATATCCATAATTCTTATCTCATTAAACCACATTAATTCCCCATTCTGTCCAGTGAGGGTTTTAAGACAAAGAATCACGTTTATTGGCCTTCAAATGGAAAATCTTGGCACAGCTCACACAAGTGTTGTGTATGGGAATATACAATAGATTGTTATATGTACACTGTGCATTCGTTTAAAAAGGTATGTGCTTGTTCAGTGGATGATTGAATGCATGCTTATGATTGGTTGAAACCTGTGTTACACCTCTGCTTCCATTTGAGTGGGTGCAGATGGAGAGATCTCTGAAGCAGTCATGAAGATTTCCTTGTCAATTGTTAATAAACTCTCTATTAGAGAATGCAAACCTACACACTGTCGAGTTCCTTTCAAAATAAAATAAAATATATAAAATATATAAAACAAATAGTTTGGACCCCTTTTAGCTCAATAGCATCCTCAGAGACACAGGTTCCATATAGCCTCTTTAAAACTGAAAAGAGAAAGTGAAACATCACTTCAAGGTTGGACATCTGGCTCACTGAAAATGCAATTTTAATGACTATGGTAATGATAGGGTAAAGCCTTGCTGGGACAGAGTTTGGTCAGAGATTTAATTAAAAGTACAGATTTGGTGCAAAGCAAAAATAATTTAAAGGCCCAGAACAGCAAATTGCTGAAAGACCATGTCCAGAGCTTACCCATGATGTTGTACAACGATTTAAGCAAATAAAGTCTTTGTTTTAGTCAAAGTATGATATATTTGGGCTTCAAGTGGGAAATCTCAGACTGTATCTTTCAAAAGAGCGTACAACTTTGACTTACTCAAAAAGTACCCTGAATTAATCGCAAGGCTAGCCCACCCCTAATGTGACTGTTGCTCACTGTTTTGCTTTTATATTCTCTCAGACATGGACTATAAACTGTGGTGCAGTGGTCTCATTTCTACCGCTGTGCTGTAATTACCGTGTTCTTGTAATGCAAATGAAAGCTGCAATATGTAACTTTTTGGCCAACCCCACCAAATTAACATATACTTTTACCAGACACTCTTATCCAAAGCGACTTACAGTAGTGAGTGCATACATTTTCATACTTTTTTCTGTACTGGTCCCCTGTGGGAATCTAACCCACAACACTGGCGTTGCTAACGCCATGCTCTACCAACTGAGCCACACAGGACCACAGAAATGTGATTTATAGCCCTTTCATTCTCATTGAATGCAAGTCTGAGAGGTGGTAGATTCCTGGGTTGTTAATCTCATTGCAATTGTGAGTGATATATACTGGGCTCCCGAGTTGCGCAGCGGTCTAAGGCACTGCATCTCAGTGCTTGAGGCATCACTACAGACCCCTTGGTTCGATTCCAGGCTGTATCACAACCGGCCGTGATTGGGAGTCCCATAGGGCGGCGCACAATTGGCCCAGGTTTGGCCGGTGTAGGCCGTCATTGTAAATAAGAATTTGTTCTTAACTGACTTGCCTAGTTAAATAAAATGTATACTGTAAGTGCACGCAATGGGCCAGTTTCAACCTTTTTGCTATTACTTCTCGGAAATGGTCCATTGTCCAAGTACAGTAGATACTTACACTTGATATGATATTCCAGGAAACAGATGTGTGTGAAAGGTACACAGCAAATTCACTAGTGTACATTTAACTCAGAGACTGTTAAATGTAACACTGATTACATATACGGTATACCTCCCAACTCTACTACATACTATTTTCACAGACTACATACACAAAAATAACAATTGATTTGTTAGTCAAACTCAATGGAGGCTTAAAAAAGAGAGGGGCTTCTTCATGCCCAAATACTTGGTTCTGTTGGTTGTTTCCTGTTGGTGTTGACCTAAGGTTAGGTGAAGGTGAGCCACAGCTCCAGAGAGCCAAGCCCCAAGCTCTGATTGGAGAGGCTCTTTTTACTGATAGAACAATTAGGGGGGCTTCAGTACCTCTGTTGAGAGTAGAGGGCAATCTGGGCACACACACACACACACACACACACACACACTCAAACACACTCACTCACTCACACACATAGTCGTTGATCAGTTAGTCAGTCATTCTGGAGCTTGCCATTCACAGAAGCAGACCTCATGGCTCTATGGATAGCCCTATACCTATCCCTCTTCTTGGTAAGTGCCCAACGCAAACTTTGGATGTCATCTGTAGAGTGTACATCGTATGTGCAGGTAACCAAGCTGTTGTGATGGTGCCTGTGACTGGGTGGCAGTGCTTTAGGTTAACCTGCCACCATATCTACGACCAGAGGAGTGTTGGAGGTATGTTTGGTGTGATTGAACTTATCTCAATGTAGATGTTCCATAGTCTGAGCATCTTAGTGCATACAGACGTCCACACCATGGCGATTGTCATTTTGATTTCGTTCACAAAAATAACATGCTCATTATTGTTGAGGGAACACCCTTGCTTTTGTTGTCGTGTCAGAAACACTTGTGGCTGCAGACATGACCTGCGTCATTTCGCCGGGCGGCTGTAGCTTGCGCTCTGGCTAGAAGTGTCTGTCTGCAAACAGGGCTGCTCAGCATATGTCTGAGTCTGGCTAAGATTTGTAAGGTTAAGTTTCTTTAATATCATTAGTCAGTACATTTGTCACCTGCTCTGATGTTCTCTATCTGTGGTGACTGTTTTTTATATGGGGTTATTATATCAGAGGGCGATTTTCTCAGTGGGTGCTGCCTCACTTACCTAAATAGCATTTTATTATGAATTCACTGCTTTTCTTTGAATTTTGATTTTGCCAACAGATTACCAAACAGGCTAGTGTTGAGTCTGAGCGCACATGTGAGGTCACATTAAATCCGATGGTGGGCCAAAAATGTTACTTTTTATTTTATTGCTTTACTTATTTACTTTATATACTATACTTTGTTTAAGCTTTTTGATGGATTAATCTGTTGCACCCAGGTTGTCGATTGCTGGCATGATCTGGATAACACCGAGTATGACTGTTGGCCATTAGATAGCCCTAATGATTACAACATGATCAACTGTGGAGGTAAGTCCAACCTGATTAATTGTGTGGAACTGACTTAAAGGAGGGAAGGCGGTCTGTTGTTGTAGTGCTATTGTATAATTTGATGGTCAGAAAGTGCAGAAATATTGCTTTGATGATTTCTGGTGTCACTGGATTCCTTATCTTGGAGAATACACACAAAAAAGTCCTTCCTCAACAGTGTGTGCGTGTGTGCATGTGTGCATGTGTGCGTGTGTGTGTGCTTGTGTGTGTATGCTCACGTGTGTGTCCAGGGCTGGAGATGTCCTGGGTGCTGCGGCCACCGGAGAAAGTGACGGATGGGGAGGAGTTCAATGTCACCTACACCGTCACAGCATCAGACTACTTCTATGAGTATGCAGTCAAAAACAAGATATTCCAGTTCAGGTGAGCCAATGTCTGTAATTCACTCCCTGCCATACCAATCAGCCTATCCGTCCGTACACCTGATGACCACAACATGAGGAAGATAAAAAATGTACTGGGAATGGGAATGCCGAGACAGATACTCAAACATTTACTTTATAGATTGAACCTTACAGTGTACACAGTAGATCTACTGTGCACCCAATCTAGTAGATTGCCATCTACTGTGTACACTGAAAAGCGCAATCTATAATGTAAATGTTTGAGGCATATCTTCCCAATCTAATGTAAAGATATAATTTACATTACATTACTCAGTCGACATTTGAGTAAAAAGTTATTTGTGTTGAGGTAACATCCTATAGTGCCTTATATATTACCCATGGATCTCCTGTGTTTTACTGTAGCCTCATATCTGGATGCCTTTAGATACTGTACATAATTGCTGTTTAAACAGACTGTAAAGATCTATTTGTCTATCTACCCATCACTCTCCAGCAACGCCTCCGAAGCCAAAAGGTTCTGTGACAAGCACGACTGTCCCGCAAATTGGAACAGTGCCAACGAGATCAACTGTTGCATTTACCATGCCAACATTCACTCCTGCCCTCTGGCTCTCATGGTCAGTACTGTCACCCTAAAAAGCTGGGTTGTGTTCATTGGGCACTAAACGTAAGAAAACTGACTGAAACAGGGAGAGACTACCTGGACTTAAGAAATGTTCATTTTTGTTTTCAATTTCAGAACGTTTTCTAAAATGTTTTCTGTTTCATGGCCTAATGAACATGACCCTGGGCTTCCCTGTGTGTATTGGGTCGCTGCCAGTCTGCTGAAAGTACACTGAAGGGGAAGACAGATGCCAAATTCTTAGTTGACCCCTAGCCCCCACCCCGGCCTAGGCTACTTGATAGATGTGAGAGGATTAGATAAGAGTAAGCAACGGTAATATTGTAGCTCCACTTTTTCTTCTGATTGAATGGTATGTATCATATTATAACACCTATCCAGGGGCACAGCTCTCAACGTGTGTATGTATGGGGTTATTGGGAAATAGACAGAAGATACAATCTGGTCTAACCAAAAGGACAATAATGCTATTCAATACTTTCAGGTCTATTCAAGCGGCCAGGGTAGGGGGTATAGGGGTCGACTTTAGGTCACGTTTTGGGCAAGAGGCATACAAAAAAGAGAGTGGTAGCAACAGTAGCATTTGGTGTCCCTCCGAATTGCCTTTGTGTGTGAGGAAAAGCTGCCCTTACTTTACATCGGCAGCTGAGAGCCATTACAGGTACACTGAGACCTAAGGCCCGCCCATTATCTTGCTGCTGACATTAAAACATTTGATTTGTGTGCGAAGGACCTAAAGGCATTGAGTATGTCTCATCAGAGGCCTGAATGCCTTGATAGCAGGGATGGTAAAAAAGTACAAAATACAATTACAAAATACCACAAAGATCAATGTATCAAAATAAACTACAAAATATTTGTATTTTGAAATGTATTTAATTAAAATACATAATTTTTATTTTAAAATAAAGAAATACATTTGCAAGTAGCCGGTCCGAACAGCAACAACATTCTCAGTAACAGTTACAGAAACGTTTTACTTGCTATGACTGTGACATGTTGTTGTTTATCTACCTTAGTTGAATGCACTGACTGTAAGTCACTCTGGATAAGAGTGTCTGCTAAATTACCAAAATGTAAATGTACAGTATGTGTGAAAATAAACATATAAAAATTGCAAATCACACTGGGTATTACTATTGGCCTTGTTTTGGGGCGGAGCTCATTAGAGTAATACTCAGCATGCTTTGCAATTGTTCATTTTTACATACACATTTACATTTAGTTAATTTAGCAGACACTCTTATCACACCATAGTGCCATCAGACTTCTGAAACCAATGCAGTGTGAAAGGGAGCCACAAAATTGTGAACCGCTGTAAAAATTTGAAAATACAAATTACAGCTCTCAAAAGTAACTTGTTACAAAATCCATTGGAGTGTAGTTCAGACAGTATAATACACATTTCAAATACTCAGAAGTAATTGAAATACTTATTTCAAATAGGTGTAACAGAAATACTGTCAATCTCTGCTTGTTAGCACTCATTCTCTCTCCCCCACCCACCAATCACTGTTTGTTGAGTACTATGGTATAACGCTGTTGAAGATTTCGATTGGTTTTGATTATGATGCTAACCCAATCATGTCGCCCCCACAGAGGCAAGGCGGTATTTGTGGTCCGTGGATCCCTGATGACGGGAAGATTGTGACTCACACCGTGTCCAAGGCGGGAAAGATGAGCAAGAAGTTCTGGACATCAAAGGTACCAACCACTGTAAAGTAAATGTAAGGGCTTTTCACACTACTGAGCCGAACCGAGCGGAACCAAACAAAGCTGTACTGCTCTGGCCTGGTTAAGCATCCACCATTGTTTTTCGGAACTGGGCAGAAAGGACAATGTGAAAAGAAATATCCAAGCCAGTATCGGCACGATACTGTCTGTGTTAAGGGTACTAGTAAACAGTAGTGCTCATGTTGTCTTTATGTGCTTTGGTAGCTATCTGACAATTGAGTTTTTAATCACGGTCCCATCCAGGTGGTTCTGGTTCATGTAGGAGTGACCTCAGTCATTGCCCATATCAAAATTGGACATATGCATGCAGCGCTGGAGTCCAAGGTCCTGGTCGTCAGTGCTCAAGGTCAGTGTGCTGCTAACACTAGCAGTGTATCCATTTGTTATTATGCACAACTCCTATTGCTACTCAAGGCTCACCCCTGTGGTGAGCACCACATTTTGGATTGTAATAACTTTTGTACATTGTTTTTTAGGCCTAGTTGTTTATTTGTTGTGGAAAAATCCAGACATTAGGATGTTGTTGCTGCACAGAAGTGTTCAACTCTAGCCTGAGTCATAGTGGTAATCTTTTCTCCTTGGTGCTTAGATTGACACACTAATGTTATTCATGAGCAAGCTGGTTTCCCAGGTCTAAATCATAGTAGTAATTTCAAGGCAAAGATAAAAGGTACACCTGTGTCATAACAGTTACGTGGGAGTTTGTGTGTGTGTGTGCGTCTGTGCGTGTCTTAGTGTGTGGGGATGACGTCTGCGAGATGGAGGAGAACTGTCTCACGTGCCCGGCGGACTGTGGTGCCTGCCCCATGTCCATCACCATCAAGGTCGCCATCGGACTGCCCGTCACGCTCTTCTTCGGTGGCTTCATCTTAACCATGGTGGTGAGGCACCAAACAAAAAATATACACCAAACAATACAAATTATTTTGTGGGGTTTTTCTCTTGCATCCAGACCAGGCACAAAACAAACTCACTTCTGAGTTTGGTCATGACCAGGCAAATCATTCTCATCCAATGCAGATGTTTTGATAAAGCCCATGCTTCTATCTCTTTCTCTATAGTGGTTCCAGTACCAGAAACAGAAGATGTTTTGGGACGAAAGCTGGATTATCAACTATAAAAATATAATGTTTGGTAAGATGAGATGTCATCTGATATGAATCAGGTGAACTCCTTTGCTTGCTTGCTTATGCAGTTCAGTTCAATACATATTTATTGTCCAGGGACGGTAATTTGCAGCATGCACAATTGTAATCTGCAGCATTATTTTCTCCTTTCTTTAGCATGTCTCGCACAATATAGCAAAGAAATGACTGTAAAAGAGCATGTCATGCATCCAAACATGTTTTCTTCAATGCTGCACACAAATTGCCATTCTGGGAGTCTTTTACATACATTTCTATACCTAATAGTTTCCTTTTTTGGCGTTTGCAGGTAAAGTGTGTTACATGGGCTTCTGCAGTACCACCAGTCTCCAGCCGGTGAAGAGTAACTCCAGTGTGAGCCGAACTACAGACGTGACTGTCTGCACTATGGTCAACACCACCTTCAAACAGAGCTTTATCCAACCTGCCATTTAGTAAGACGTCTTACTTAAACACTGAACTGCATAACGCATGTCTAAGGCATGGTATTTATTACACAGGTGAAGGGGGAAAGTACTGTGGCCTGGGACTGCTGTAAAGTGGAGCATGCAGATATTCACGGCTATTGATAATAATGTATTTGATTCAGAACTAGTGCACTGCAATGCACTTAAACAGAGTACATGTATTTATCCAATGTGCACTTATCAGTCATCAACTATATTCTCAGACAATTATTATATGAGGAACCTAGTTTTATTTGTATAAACTGCTTTTGCTTGCATCTGTCTACGTGTAGTAGGTTTGCTGTCTTTCCTGATAACTAAAAAAGTCATTATTTTCTATTGGTTAGTGATGGAAGGACTGTAGCAGTGAAACACATCCAGAAGAAACACTTCACCCTCTCCAAAACTATCAGGAGGGAGGTGAAAGAAGTGAGGTGAGTAGAACCTGTGTACTCCTAAAACCTCATACACAGACACAATTACCTAGAGTATATATTTTGATTGATCTCATGCAGCATTTTCTTCACTTACTGAAGATCTGATAAAAATCACATAGTAGTATCCCATCAGGCAAAAACATTTTTTTGAATCACAATTCAATGTTGAACATCAATGGATTTTTTTGTTACATTTATAAAAAGTCCTCAAGTTACAGTTGTTGTCTAATTTCAACCCAGATTTCAACCACATATCAATGGCAGGGTGATTTCAAGGTTTGGTTAATTTCAAATTGAATTCACCTTTGTTGACAACTCAACGTCAACTAAAATTGGATGTTGATTTGATGTTGATGTCCGGTGTGATTGGATATGACACATTTGCACCACCAGTTCATTTCTAGATATTGCATTGCTTTTTCTTAGGGAACTGGATCACCCAAATCTCTCCAAGTTCATGGGTGGTTCCATTGAGGTCCCCTACGTCAGTATCATCACTGAGTACTGCCCCAAAGGAAGCCTGGCTGATGTCCTCCTGAATGAGGATGTGCCAATCAACTGGGGGTTCAGGTGAATGTCAAGACATCAGCTTTTTCTACCATCTGTCTGAAGAAAGAATACTGCACTATATTTTACATTTACATTTTTAGTAATTTAGCAGACGCTCGTATCCAGAGCGACTTACAGTTAGTGAGTGCATACATTTTTCATACTGGCCCCCCGTGGGAATCGAACCCACAACCCTGGCGTTGCAAGCGCCATGCTCTTCCAACTGAGCTACAGGAGGCCGGTTTCCTTGACATTAACCTTGTCCTGCACTAAAAAGCATTTCCATTGAACATGCTTCTTAGTCTAGGACTAGGCTCAATATGTGTCCAGGACCTTAATGTAATAGAACCTAATTCTGTTTTATTGTGTTCTTCATTTATGCTGGCACACAGGTTGTCATTTGCTACTGACATAGCCCGAGGAATGGCTTACCTCCACCAACACAAGATGTTTCATGGCAGACTTCACTCAAGGAATTGCGTCATTGACGACCGCTGGGTCTGCAAAATCTCAGGTGATAAAATTAAGACCTCCCTGTGTAGGAGTGTGTAGCCAGGCAGCATATCTCAACATGCCTTTATCTACTACTGTTGTGTCCTTGAGTAAGGCACTTAACCCCTAACCTGCTCCAGAGGCGCTGCTCAGCGGCTGACCATGTGTTGTTTAGAGCCTCTCGTGTGAGTATATATGTTGTTCCGGGAGATTTGGAACAACATAAGAAAGAAAAGGCAACATTTATTTTTCACAAAGGACAATTAAAATGTTATTGTATTGTATTGTGTTTGGTTTACATTAGTGAGTACACAGGACCAGTAAAAAAGCAAAATATATTTACATTTTATTTATCCTGTGTTGTTCCAGACTATGGCCTGACAGCCTACAGAAAGGAGAACTTTGAGGTAGTCAGTAATGGGTTCCACTGTGAGGATACCTACCGTATATACTATGCCCCTGAGGTCCTCCTGGGAAGCAGCTCTAATATCACTCCGGCTGCTGACGTTTACAGGTACTGTAGCCCCACTGCGACAGCTATTATATATATATGATGACACCATGGTGATAACCATGGTTGGGGCCAATTCCATTTCAATTCAGTCAGTTGAAAAGCAATGAGGGAAATAAAAATTTGACTTCCTGAATTTACAATTGAAATGGAATTAAGCCCAACCCTGGTTGTAACTATTGTACTTACTGTATGTGATATTATTATGGTGGTATGGTAATTACATAAATACTAGACCATGGACATGTTGTTTATGTTTAAGTCAGCACGACAGTACCTGCAAGTTTTTCATCCAAGGTGCTAGTTTTATGCTAAATTGAGTCTCAGACACAAAAGTGCATGCATGAAACATCTGGGATATGGTTATACCATCTGTATGATCTGGTGTTATTAGATGTGTTCAATGGTTTCTGTGTCTTCCCCTCCCCAGCTACTCTATCATCTTAGTTGAGATTGCCACCCGCTCTGACCTCCTTTTAGTAAGTATGATACAAAGATAATACTAATGATAATGACCTTTGACCACGCACGCTCAGGTTTTTGTTTACCATTTTTTTCTCTATGACCACCTCTCCGACAGGACCAAACGGAGGGCGTGAAGTTGGATATCATGTGGCGCCCTTCCCTGCCTGAACTGAAAGCTGGGAAAGCGGATACTGATTGTCCTAACCGGGGAGATTACTGTGAGGTGTGTGACAAAATCCACTGACATTTGCTGTTGCTTATTATTTAATATACTCGGTCCGATGATTCATATGTATTCATTTAAGCACTTTCAGGAGCGTTTTACTCCAAAATATGTTTAATCTTATATTTGTATTTTGTTCATGTTTGACACAGTCCCTCAGACATTGTGCATGTCACCATTCAAGTTTTGGGGTAAAATCTTTAGATGTACGGTAAGTGTGCCAAAGAGGCTAATTTCTTTTTTTCTTTTTTTTTATCTCTACTCTGTAATACTTCAACAGCTGATCAAGAAGTGCTGGTCTCATAATGTCACATTGAGGCCGACTTTTGAGCAGGTGAAGAAGATGCTGGATAAGATGAACCCACACAAAGTCAGCCCTGTGGACATGATGATGAATCTGGTAATGCTCTGATATAACATTTGGCCACTTAAAGGATGAGTAAGTTATTTCAGAAGCTAGCAGATTCATTACTTACCAACAGCTGCAAATCTCAATAAAACAACATATTGTTTTGAAGTTCACTTTCCTTACTTTGTCTAACAACACAATCATTATCTAGCAAAAAAGTTGTGGGTCAGAGTGCAGTATTTATTTAGTTTCATAGCACAAACACTTGCTAGCAAGTTTCTCACATTGGCTTTAGCCGGGGCCTGCCTGGAGACGCATCCAGGTGCAGCCCCGAACCAGCTTGTGACTAAAACTAGCCTGTCACTAAAATTAGCCTTTCATTAAAACCAATACTATTGCCATCTACTGGCGTGGTTAATCCCTACAACATACTGTACATGTGAACTTTTCTTTCCTAGATTCCTTTCCTTCTTTCTTTGCTCCCTTTCCTTTCCTCCTTTCCTAGCTTCCTTTCCTAACTTCCTTTATTTTTCTCCATTCCTCGCTTCTGTGAGTGATTAAAAAAACAATCGGTTCAAGGACATACATATGGTGTAATAGAAGCAATTATTAGTGCCAGGGTTGTCTTCGAAATGTGTATTTATTTACAGAAAGATTGACCACGAAGATTGCCATTTTCCCCTTCACTATAATGGTGGATCCTGTTTTCTGCAAACAGTGTTTGTAGTACCGCGGTTGGCTTTGAACTTCATGGATTGAATGAGGGGGAAGTAATTCTCCCCTGTTTCTCCCCTGGTTTAGCGCAACAGCTAAAATGGCTTTGAAAAAATATGATTTCAGCTAATATCGAGAAGTAGGCCTATCTAACAAAATAACTACATTAGGCATTCACTAATCATAAACTATTTACATATAATAGAAACTTGGGTACATTTGTAGACAAAATTCTATTTTAGGGCTCTAGCCAATCTGTTTTGCTGAAGCGTTACAGATTGTACGATAGAAATGTAAAGGTAATTTCTGATTGAGCCGATTTATGCAGCGTTTTCAGTGAACGCAGTCTCCGCTAACGTGGAAACATTGCCTTTAAATTTCAATCACGCTGTAATGATGAACTTCCACGATACAGATTGAATAGAGCCCTTCCTCAACCTTTAAATCAAAATCTTATATATTTGGAGAGAAAAAAATCAGCAGACTGATTATTATGATAATCACAATAAAGTGGGGAAAAAAAGTATTTAGTCAGCCACCAATTGTGCAGGTTCTCCCACTTAAAAAGATGAGAGAGGCCTGTCATTTTCATCATAGGTACACATCAACTATGACAGACAAATTGAGAACATTTCTTCCAGAAAATCACATTGTAGGATTTGTAATGAATTTATTTGCTAATTATGGTGGAAAATAAGTATTTGGTCACCTACAAACAAGCAAGATTTCTGGCTCTCACAGACCTGTAACTTCTTCTTTAAGAGGCTCCTCTGTCCTCCACTCGTTACCTGTATTAATGGCACCTGTTTGAACTTGTTATCAGTATAAAAGACACCTGTCCACAACCTCAAACAGTCACACTCCAAACTCCACTATGGCCAAGACCAAAGAGCTGTCAAAGGACACCAGAAACAAAATTGTAGACCTGCACCAGGCTGGGAAGACTGAATCTGCAATAGGTAAGCAGCTTGGTTTGAAGAAATCAACTGTGGGAGCAATTATTAGGAAATGGAAGACATACAAGATCACTGATAATCTCCCTCGATCTGGGGCTCCACGCAAGATCTCACCCCGTGGGGTCAAAATGATCACAAGAACGGTGAGCAAAAATCCCAGAACCACACGGTGAGCTGGGACCAAAGTAACAAAGCCTACCATCAGTAACACACTACGCCGCCAGGGACTCAAATCCTGCAGTGCCAGACGTGTCCCCCTGCTTAAGCCAGTACATGTCCAGGCCCGTCTGAAGTTTGCTAGAGTGCATTTGGATGATCCAAAAGAGGATTGGGAGAATGTCATATGGTCAGATGAAACCAAAATATAACTTTTTGGTAAAAACTCAACTCGTCGTGTTTGGAGGACAAAGAATGCTGAGTTGCATCCAAAGAACACCATACCTACTGTGAAGCATGGGGGTGGAAACATCATGCTTTGGGGCTGTTTTTCTGCAAAGGGACCAGGACGACTGATCCGTGTAAAGGAAAGAATGAATGGGGCCAAGGAGTGAAAACCTCCTTCCATCAGCAAGGGCATTGAAGATGAAACGTGGCTGGTTCTTTCAGCATGACAATGATCCCAAACACACCGCCCGGGCAACGAAGGAGTGGCTTCGTAAGAAGCATTTCAAGGTCCTGGAGTGGCCTACCCAGTCTCAAGATCTCAACCCCATAGAAAATCTTTGGAGGGAGTTGAAAGTCCGTGTTGCCCAGCGACAGCCCCAAAACATCATTGCTCTAGAGGAACAGTGTGTGAAAACCTTGTGAAGACTTACAGAAAACGTTTGACCTGTGTCATTGCCAACAAAGGGATATAACAAAGTATTGAGAAACTTTTTTTATTGACCAAATACTTATTTTCCACCATAATTTGCAAATAAATTCATTAAAATTCCTACTGTGTGATTTTCTGGATTTTTTTTTCTCATTTTGTCTGTCATAGTTGACGTGTACCTATGATGAAAATTACAGGCCTCGCTCATCTTTTTAAGTGGGAGAACTTGCACAATTGGTGGCTGACTAAATACTTTTTTCCCCACTGTACATGTCATGAATCTCACAAATCTGTATTGTAAAATGATTTGGACTTTGGATCAAAATGGAGATATCTGCTGTGTATGGATCACTGGACCTGCTTTCATAATTGTCAACATACAGTATATTTGCTTATAGGTACACTGCATAACATGATGTCTGTTACAATTCTAGATGGAAAAGTACAGTAAGCATTTAGAGGCCATTGTAGCGGAGAGAACACAGGATCTTCTCCAAGAGAAACAAAAGACAGACTGTTTGCTATACAGTAAGTACATGAAACTACCAATGGTCCACGATACAGTAGGTCGGAGTTGAGGCTACTTACACTATATATACAAAAGTATGTGGACACCCCTTCAAGTTAGTGGATTCAGCTATTTCAGCCACACCTGTTGCTGACAGGTGTATAAAATCGAGCACACAGCCATGCAATCTCCATAGACAAACATTGGCAGTAGAATGGCCTTACTGAAGAGCTCAGTGATTTTCAACGTGGCATCGTCATAGGATGCCACCTTCTAACAAGTCAGTTGGTCAAAGTTCTGCCCTGCTAGAGCTGCCCAGGTCAGCTGTAAGTGCTGATATTGTGAAGTAGAAACTTCTAGGACAAACAACGGCTCAGACTCGAAGTGGTAGGCCACTTGAGAGCACAGAGCGGGACCTCCGAGTGCTGAAGCGCGTAGCGCGTAAAAATCGTCTGTCCTAGGTTGCAACACTCACTACCAAGTACCAAACTGCCTCTGGATGCAACTACAGCACCACACACAAGCCTAAGATCATCATGCGCAATGCCAAGCGTCGGCTGGAGTGGTGTAAAACTTGCCGCCATTGGACTCTGGAGCAGTGGAAACCCATTCTCTGAGGTGATGAATCACGCTTCACCCTCTGGCAGTCTGACGGACGAATCTGTGTTTGGCGGATGCCCTGAGAACCCTACCTGCCCCAATGCATAGTACCAACTGTAAAGTTTGGTGGAGGACGAATAATGGTCTGGGGCTGTTTTTCATGGTTCAGGCTAGCATGACAATGCCCCCGTGAACAAAGCGAAGTCCAAACAGAAATGGTTTGTCGAGATCGGTGTGTAAGAACTTGATTGGCCTGCACAGAGCCCTGACCTCAACCCCATCGAACACCTTTGGGATGAATTGGAACACCGACTGCGAGCCAGGCCTAATCGCCCAACATCAGTGCCCGACCTCACTAATGCTCGTGGCTGAATGGAAGCAAGTCCCCGCAGCAATGTTCCAACATCTAGTGGAAAGCCTTCCCAGAAGAGTGGAGGCTGTTATAGCAGCAAAAGCGAACCAACTCCATATTAATGTCCATGAATTTGGAATGAGATGTTCGACAGGCAGGTGTCCACATACTGTTGTTCATGTAGTGTATTACGTGTGGTGTTGTCTCCACTGTCATCTAGTGGTAAAGAAGTAAATTCAGATGTACCACAATGACAACATAAATGCTCCCAAAATACATTTGGATGTTGCTATATACTGTTTTTCTGTTTGGAAGAGAAAGAGTTGTTTGAATGCAAAGCCATTGGTGACACCAGTGACCATTATATCTACATTTAACAAAATTCCTGAATGGAACAGTTTGAAAGGCAGGAAAATGTTTTGAATCTAAAGTTATTTATTGTTATTTAAAACTCCAGGGTTGGACGGCATACCATTCGAGGTATACCAAACCTTTTTTGATATACTCAGAGGACCATTATTAGCATGTTTAACCACTCCTATGTAAATGGTAGATTATCAGACACTCAAGAAGAAGGTCTGATTTCATTATTACTGAAACAGGATACAAGTGGAAAATATAAAGATCCAGTCCATTTAGAAAATTGGAGGCCCCTTACACTTCAGTGTTGTGATGAAAAAATTATAGCAAAATGTATAGCGCATAGAATTAAAAAGGTATTATCGGACATTATTAATTCTAATCAGACAGGTTTTTTACATGGACGATACATTGGAGATAATATAAGGCAACTATGAAACACTATGAAAAATCTGGGAAAACAGGTCTGTTATTCATAGCAGACTTCGAAAAGGCATTTGATAAAGTACGACTGGGGTTTATATATAAATGCCTGGAGCATTTCAATTTTGGAGAATCTCTTATAAAATGGGTTAAAATCATGTATAGTAACCCTAGGTGTAAAATAGTAAATAATGCCTATTTCTCCAAAAGTTTTAAACTGTCAAGAGGAGTGAAACAAGGTTGTCCACTATCGGCATATCTATTTATTATGGCCATCGAAATGTTAGCTATTAAAATCAGATCCAACAATAATATCAAGGGATTAGAAATCCAGGGCTTAAAAACAAAGGTGTCATTGCACGCTGATGATTCATGTTTTCTTTTAAATCCACAACTTGAATCCCTCCGCAGCCTCATAGAAGATCTAGATACATTTTCTAACCTCTCTGGATTACAACCAAATTATGATAAATGTACTATATATATATATTGGATCACAAAAAAATTATATTTTTACATTACCATGTACTTTACCAATACAATGGTCTGATGGTGATGTGGATATACTCGGAATACATATCCCAAATGAAATAAATGATCTCGCTCCAATAAATGTTAATAGAAAGTTAGCAAAAATAGATAAGATCTTGCTACCATGGAAAGGTACATACCTGTCAATTTGTGGAAAGATCACCCTGATTAACTCTTTAGTATTATCTCAGTTTACCTATTTGCTTATGGTCTTGCCTACGCCTAGCGAACTGTTTTTTAAATTATATGAGAAAACAATATTCCATTTTATTTGGAACAGCAAGCCAGACAAAATTAAACGGGCCTATTTATATAATGGATATGAATTCGGAGGACAGAAATGATAAAATATTAAAGCATTACACCAATCACTAAAAGCTTCAGTCATACAAAAGTTATACTTAAATCCGAACTGGTTCTCTAGCAAATTAGTAAGATTGTCTCACCCAATGTTTAAGAATGGCCTTTTCCCCTTTATTCAGATTACAACCTCTCACTTTCAGTTATTTGAAAAGCATCTCCCAAATATCACTATTTCTAAAACAAGCCATAGAAAGTTGGTTGCAATTTCAATTGAATCCTCCAGAAACGACAGAACAAATAATGCAACAAATATTGTGGTTAAACTCAAATATACTAATTGATCAAAAAAACATTATTTAAAAAAGGTATAATCTTCGTAAATGATATCATAAGTAGGACTGGTGGAGTTACATGCAGCTAACAAAAACATATGGAAATGTCTGCTCTACCCAAAATTACAACCAAATAATTGCAGCATTACCGCAAAAATGGAAGAGGAAAGTGAAAGGGGGAAAAAGTAAAGAACTTGTCTGTCGGCCTTGCATTAAAGAACATAATTGGTTAAAGAAAATTGTAATAAATAAAAAAGTATACCAGTTTCAGTTAAGGACCAAAGGATTGACTTCCATCCCATATAGATTGCAAAATAGTTGGGAAGAAATATTTGACGTACCGATTCCATGGCATAGTGTTTATGAACTGATACGCAAAATTACGCCGTATTCAAAACTTAGAATTGTTCAATTTAAATTATTATACAGAATTCTTGCTACCAATATAATGTTATTTATATGGGGGATACAATCTTCCCAGCTCTGCAGATTTTGCTGCGAAGAGACAGAATCATTAGATCATTTGTTTTGGTACTGTCCATTTGTAGCTTGTTTTTGGACACAGGTCCAGGAATGGCTAAAGGATTGCAATATTTACCTTGAGCAAACCCTGCAGATAGCACTACTGTGTGATCTGAAAAGTCATAGTCACTCAATCAACAATATAATAATACTTTTAGCAAAAATGTATCATGAAAATGATCGGAGAGGTTGAGGGTAGAGGCAGTTCAGGAGTAAAAACAAACAAAATATAATTATTGTAAAATGTGTCCATAAAATGTATATAGTATGTATAAGCTGGAAGTAGAGGCCTAAGCATTGTTGTTCACTAATTTACTCCAATTAGGGAAGGGGTGGTGGGGTTGGAAAGTAATAAAGGGATTTTTTTTTTTTTAAAGGATATGTATATATATGTATGTATATGTATTTATATGTATGTATATGTATGTATATGTATATATATATATATATATTTGCGAGAAAAAAACCATATGGGGGATTGGAAGTGATGCAGACAATTACATTGATGGAAGTTACAATCTATCTGCAATATTAAAGCTGATCTACCCCCTAAAAAAAGTTTTATAAATTTATTTGATTTATTATTTTATTGTCACCAGGTATGTTACCAAAGCCGGTGGCAGATGACCTTCGTCAGGGTCGCACGGCAGAGGCTCAGAGCTACTCCAACGCCACAGTCTACTTCAGGTATGTGTCATTAGTAGGGCCAAGAGTTTTTCCTAATCAGGTCACGTGATCTGGAAAAACTCTTGGCCCTAGTCATAAGACAGTGCAGTATTGTGGCACATCCACATTAGTTCATGTATTGTGTCCTATGGAGGTGTTGAATTGGGTATTTATTTACGTGCATTAAGAAAGAGTTCTAAATGGTAACAACCCTTCAGTGACTCCTTTCTCCCTATCCAGATTCCCTCCCAGGTGCCACCGTCTACCTTTTCAAGGTAAAGATTTAGAGATGAGTAACATTTCTTTCTCCTTGTTGGCAGTGACATTGTGGGTTTCACGGAGCTCTCTGGCTCAAGCACTCCTCACCAGGTGGTGGACTTTCTAAATCAGCTCTACACCACGTTTGATGACATCATTGATAATTATGATGTCTACAAAGTGGAGACTATAGGAGACGCTTGTAAGTATGATGGCAAAGAATCTGTCTCTCCGTCCATCCGTCTGTCTGTGACTGCCTGTCTGTCTCCATCAATCTGTCCATCCTTCTGTCTGTTAGTTCGTCTGTCCACCCATCCGCATGTGTGTGTGTTTGTGCATTGTTATCAAGACTGATCTAAATGTGTCTGCCCCTCCAGACATGGTGGTCTCCGGTGTCCCCAATGAGAATGGCATAAACCATGCGGGGGAGATCGCCAGCATGGCTCTGGGTCTGGTCAATGTTTGCCATGCCTTTAAAATCCCCCACAAACCCACCACACAGTTGAGGATACGAGCTGGCATCCACTCAGGTAGAGTAGTCCAACTGGGTTATGTTCAGTAGGGCACACCGTTGTGCCTACTGAACACAACCCTTGTGACATCTCACTGTTTGAGTGGAATAATGGTAGTAATGATCAAAACATCTAACTCAATTGCATCTGGTCTGCCCTTGTTGAAATGTTAGGCAGTTTTGCTAACGGAATGTACATTTATCTTGTGCTATGCATTCAATATGAAATGTAAAAACAGCCATTACAAAATGTGTGTTTTCCCACGTTTACATCCTACTTGTATTTGTGAGAGGTATTGACATGTTGAATGCACCGAGCTGTCTGTTTGAACTACTGGCACACAGCTCGGACACTCATGCATACCCCACAAGACATGCCACCAGAGGTCTCTTCACAGTCCCAAAGTCCAGAACAGACTATGGGAGGCGCACAGTACTACATAGAGCCATGACTACATGGAACTCTATTCCACATCAAGTAACTCATGCAAGCAGTCAAATTAGATTTAAATATATATATATATATATATATATATATATATATATATATATATATATATATATATATATATATATATATATATATATACACCTTATGGAACAGCAGGGACTGTGAAGCAACACAAACATAGACACATGAATACAAACACACGATAACATACGCCCTGTACACACACGTACACATGTATTTTGTGTTATAGATATGTGACAGTAGAGTAGGGGCCTGAGGGCATACAGTTAATATGTTATGAAATCTGTTATGAATGTATTGTAATGTTTTTAAAATACTGTATATAACTGCCTTAATTTTGCTGGATCCAAGGAAGAGTAGCTGCTGCCTTGGCAGCAGCTAATGGGGATCCATAATAAATACAAATACATCCCCACAGGACCCGTAGTTGCTGGTGTCGTGGGAACCAAAATGCCACGGTATTGCTTATTCGGTGATACAGTGAACACAGCATCGCGGATGGAATCAACAAGCGAAGGTACTCAAAGATCAAATGCAACCCTTGAGTATATACATTTAAACTCTGTGAGAGTGCAGTTTGTAGGCCTAAGTAATAGTGAAATATTCAGATTCTTTATCTGATTCAGGGTCTATAAAATGTGTGTGCCGTATTAACAGGCCAACTGACTCCACAGACCACTCAGCCTGGCTAAGGTTGAGCATATTGTTCATGGGCTGGGTGGCAGCTGAGGTTGCCATTGGTGGGGCACCGATTTAGCCTCTCTGCCTTTATGCCAAGCTGGATTTTCTCTGTCTGTGCTCTTCAGCACCCTGCAGAGGGGTTACATAACTAGAGAGAGCCATTCTCCTCACTGAGCTCTTATAATCCTCGCAACCAAGCAAAAAAGACAATGAGGGTAGAAAACAGTGACCCTAGTGTGGCAGTGATTGGAAAACGTGAAACATAGTGGCTTTTAGGCTACTACATGAAAATATATTATTTCTCATGTGATAGGGCAGGATGCCCAACATTACTTTTGTAGTACTGAATTACTTGTTGTACAACGTTACTTTTCTAACACTGTATTTGCCTTTTGTAGATTGTCATTTATAATCCAGCTAGTATCAAAAATTGTGATTATGTCCATAGCGCTGAAGATCCAGGTCAGTGGAGCCACTGCTGACCTGCTAAACACACTGGGAGGTTACACTCTGATCTGCCGAGGATCACTAAACGTCAAGGTAAGATAATCAGCCATTTCCCACTCATTAGTATGGATAATGACACAGTAGCAAAGGGTTCATGAGGAGAAAATCTAGCCTGTTCCCAGATCTGTTTGTGCTGTCTTGCCAACTCCTGGTTATTTTTTTCTCCAAAAAATATGGTTTTGACAACTCCTATGGTTGTCGTTTGCCAAAGACAATGGCCATAGGCAAGACTGCTTGTGAAATGCAAACTGTATCCAACAATAGTGTTATCATATCACCTTCTCACACTACTAGTTTGACCTAATTTAAGAATGCTCCTAGTTAGCAAATGTACAATATAGGAGTATCTGTCTGTTCTGTGAACTGCTATGGTCGATATTCTCGTGGGAAACAATTAAAAAAGTGGTGTGCTAAGACATTTTTGGACTTGGCTATGGCGGTTTCTGTAGAAATCTTGCCAGCAACAAACATTTATTATATTCACCCCCTCTGTCTCATGGGCTTGTATTCATGCAGTCACCAAGACCTTTGATTTGAAGGGAGGGAGGGAGTTAGTAGAGGGTGGAGAGAGAGAGGGAGGGGGGGGGGGGGGGAGGAGCCAAGTGTATCCCATGGGATAGGGCCCAACGTTCATACTCATTGAAAGACTGCATGTCTCCATTAGGGAGCGGCCTCAGCTGCTTTGTGCTTGTCCCTTACCAACCTTAATGGCCCTCATTTAGTATTTACAAGGACACACATGCTCCCCAAATACGGCCCCTTTCTCGGAAGAGAGAAAAAGCAAAACAATCTCCATTGGTCTTGATAGGCTGTCAGACATACAGTATACTGCTTTTGGATGGTCTATGACCTACAAGTTTAGCCTCCATTTTTTTGCATCAACGATACTGCTCTTTGTTTGTAAAGGGGAAAGGTGAAATGACGACTTGGTGGCTGGAAGCAAAGAGAGAAGAATCCTCGGACCCACTCCTCGGATCCACCGAGTTCAGAGGAGTCCCTGTGCCAGTTAGCAACTAGTCAACTTCTAGCCTTCATAGTCTCTGTCTGCATACATGGACCAAAGTTTGTGTTTAACAGCTGTATTGTGCAATTGATATCAAATATATTTATATACCGCCCGAAAGTCTTGGAGCTGTATTGTGAGTTTGTACAGGGATTTTATGTTCAGGCAATACCAATGTTGGTTGTACTTTAAGTTAGAGCATTTTTTCATAATATGAAAACAAACATTCATAGAAAAAAAATGCTCTAACTTAAAGACCACCAAAATGGGCAGTTATTGTATTCATTCATATCCATATGGTGGATATATACTTGATATGTGCACTCATATTTCCTATTGTAATGGAGATGGGTGGGGGAGAGGCAATAAATACAAAAATAGATTATCCAGTGTGGAATTCAAACCACAAGTCACATGATTTTTTCTTGCATCTCTCCTTGGTACACCAACATTAACATTGCCCCCAACAAGTCTAATGACCACCAGAATCACACCCCAAATGCCATAGGTTATCTGGAAAATAATCCATTACAGAGAGGTAGTCTAAATGTCCACATATTCCAATATGGTGAATTGAAATGCACAGTGTTGTATCATATAATATATTATGATATTAGCATTACCTGATTTGATTCCATGTGTAAAATAAGCAGGTTATTGTTATGTATTGCTATGTAGTGGATTTTGTTGGTAGTGAGGTTTAGTGTTTTCTGTTGCATTTCCCACACACCTCATAGCTACCAAAATAAGAATTAAACTGTGATCATTCTGAATTTCTTCACTTCTTTATAACATGGCTCTCCTCTGGTGCAACACAAATAATACATCATTTGGCAATAAACCATTCAAAAGATATGGCAAAAGTATGTGTTATTTACAATGTTACTATAATTGAAACTTGACACATTACATTTAAGGTTTATCTCCTGATGGCAGTTACATGTCTGGTTGACCCAGAACAAACAAACTGACACTGCCTGTGTGATGAACTGTTGCCACATTGCAGATACAATAGTGCTGATGCACCATTATGCACCCTCACTCTCAGTGAAAAGCATTGCACTTATCTAGCTTCAGCAGCCTGCCATTCGCATGCAGTGTTGACAGATATTTTTTGTATTAGGAAGTTGATTGAAAATATGTTTCTACACCAGCCCTGTTCCTGGAGAGCAACTGTCCTATAGGTTTTCACTCCAAAAACCTACAGGAAGGTAGCTCTCCAGGAACAGGGTTGTGATATGGTTCATTGATTGTACACAAGGATTGGGTGAAAGATCAAAGGCAGGTCACATCATTGCAACATTGTAACTTTTTGAAATCATGTTTCAAACATGCACCTGCTTGCTGAAAGTGTAGTTTGGGAATTTGTCAAAAGATATTATAGGTTTACAGCCAATCGAGTAAGGAGGTGTTGGTTGCCTGACAACGCAGTAGCCAATCGCTGTAGTGTTTGGTTTGTCAGCTCCCGGAGTCTGCAAGCTCGTGAGGCGGCTTATGAGTTTTTTCGGGGCACCTTCATGATGAGATAAAAACGTAGGTTAAGTTTTATTACATGTCATCTGTAGAATGTTCTATGTAGGAGACACTTGCATATCCCTTGGCCTAGATATTGGCGTTATTTTAGTAGCATGCTAATTCTACTGTACCTGGTTTGACAGCAGCTTGTCTGCGCAGCTTCCTCGTGCATTTGACCGTTCTCGTATTGGTCCAAACAAGTAATCGTTAGCGAGCTAGCTACTGTAGCTTAAAAAACTGGCCTGCAAACGATATTAACTGCGCTGTTAGACTAGTTATATATGAGTTATCCAGCTTGTTGTCTTGCTAGCTATCCCTTGCCCTTTATTCTACAACGGGCTGGTCAAAACAAGCGTTTGTGATTGGTTAAGACGCGTTCTAAGCCATATGTTTAGCACGGGGTAGTTTTGTTGAGAGCCGCGACGCTCGGTCTGAACATGCTTGCGTTACGGTTTTGGAAGACTAAGAACCTATCATACTGTCGAGAAATTATTTTCAAAAAACAAAAGGTTAAATTAATACACAACTTTATAGAGTTAAGGTTCAGACATTACCATATTTCCATGTTACAGCGCTTGTTTACGGAAAACATACGGAAGAAGGCGGACTACTTGTGCTAATGAACACCACAAACGTGTTGTCACTGAAATTCTGTCGGCTGCAACTGTGTTAAAACAGTGTACAGTACGTGTGTATTTTGCGTTTGTACAATTATTTTGATGTGATAGAATAGTAAAGGGATTTGTTTCTAGGACCGTGCAGCAATTGAGACTCGATTCACGTTAGATGGAGTATTTGGCTGTTTTGGCTTCTTGGGCCAATTCGCCCTTTAAACAAAACATGTAAGGTCCTTGGACTAAGGAGTAGCTTTAGTCCAATAATTGGCTAAGCTGTCCCTAGCCAATTTATCAATAACAAATCCTCGGGGAGCTCGAGCCTTCCACCATTCACCAGCTGGGACCACTTTAGTCGGGCTCGAACATTATCCAGTCAGTCTCAAACTCGACAATGTAGTGAGACTGTATCATTAACTTATCTGGTATTGTAAGTGGATTTCTAAATCACACATTCAACTGGGCACACCATGTCATTTCAACGTGGACATTTGAGTAATATTATTCACCCACTCAAAAATACTGCATGAAGTTTGTTGAATTTCCAGTGTGTTATCACTATACTTTAAACAATCTAAAAGCACAACCAAATTCCAATGGAAAAACAATGTCAGATTGTTGATTTAGTTGTCATATAAATGTGTTATCACTGCACTTTCAACCATTTTAAAAGTACAACAAAGTTCAAATGGGACTACAATGTCAGATATTTTGTATTTACAACAATTTAATGTTTTATCACTGTGCTTAATCTAGGCCTAATAGCACAATACAATGACCTGAATTGCAGTTGAGATTACATTAAAAGTACATAGTGCAAGTGATCAATGCTGTTAGCGATTCCGTGCAGATTATTATATCAATTGTGAAGATCTCCACAGACCTGCGACCTTTGCACACTATCGTGAACATGCACGCTTTCTATGATTACATAAGAAAACATTTTACAGTAACCTCAATGTGGCCATGGATGTCACCATGGCTCGCGACTAACTTTCTTCCTCACCGTCCTGGTACTGTCCTGAAGTGCAATTTCAACTGTCCCAAACTGAACTTGAACCGTCCCAAAATGTTATGTTTTGATATGCCAACATGGGCCTAGGTCATTTGCAGTACTTTTACACGTTTACAATATATCTAAGAGAGAATAATGTTGTTGTGAACTGGTTACTGAAAAAAATTAAGTTGGAGACATTACATTCCACCACCAGCTGCCCCATTAAACAACATAACACAACAATGTACAATAAAGATTGTGTGTTCCCCAGCCTTCACTTTCTCTGCTTCACCCTCCCTCTTCAGTCACTGAAGAATGGTCGCCGTGACCTTTTTGAGCGCCACCACTTGATAACGGCCAGGGCCTAAAATGTACTTTTTGGTACACCAGCCACTGTGGCAGGTAGATAAAAAAATCTACCAGCCACTCAGATTTTTTACCAGGCTAAATATTGTCTTCCGCTAAAATTGCACCAACAAAAACAAAAAAAACGGATGAGCATGCTTTGTAATGTTCCTAAAAACAATAAATGTATTACTAGTAAGCAGTAATGTGGCACATTGTTTAATTTAATTGCATTTTTTGTGACCTGAGTCTTTTAACCAAAATATCACAGATGAGACAAATGTTTACCTGCCCCAAAAGGGCGGGGGATTACTGTGGTAATGCGACTCGAGTCATGTTTGTGCCTGTGAGATTGAGTTTGACTAGTATCCGCGTTTCTTCTCTTTCCTAGCAGTTGAAACTCAAACAACCTAGTTTGTGAACAAAACAATGTAAATAGCCAAGGAACACAAGGAAAAAGTCTAATTTCAGTAGACTTCTGTTTTAAGTCAATGAAACAAACTTTATCTGTCATTCAGCTCTTCACGTGCGTGCGCGAGGCAGAAACACTTTGCACATTTTACAGTGTGCATTCAGTTCAGGTCAGGGAAATACAACCATATTCTCTAGAACAGTAATTCTCAACTGGTGGGTCGTGACCAAATTGTGGATCGCGGGAGGTTTTGAGTGGGTCATGGTTGTCTGAAAAAGATTATATATATATATATAATAATAATAATAATAATAATAATGTATGAAGAAATACTCCAGTCCTTAACCAACAATGCATTTATTTCTTAATAAAAAAGTAAAATAAAACAACAACAACAAAAAAGTGTTGAGAAAAAAAGAGCAGAAGTAAAATAAAATAACAGTAGGGAGGCTATATATACAGGGGGGTACCGGTGCAGAGTCAATGTGCGGGGGCACCGGCTAGTTGAGGTAATATGTACATGTGGGTAGAGTTAAAGTGACTATGCATAAATAATGAACAGAGTAGCAGCAGTGTAAAAAGATGGGGTGGGGGTGCAAATAGTCCGGGTAGCCATGATTAGCTGTTCAGGAGTCTTATGGCTTGGGGGTAGAAGCTGTTGAGAAGCCTTTTGGACCTAGACTTGGCGCTCCGGTACCGCTTGCCGTGCGGTAGCACAGAGAACAGTCTATGACTAGGGTGGCTGGAGTCTTTGACAATTTTGAGGGCCTTCCTCTGACACCGCCTGGAATAGAGGTCCTGGATGGCAGGAAGCTTGGCCCCAGTGATGTACTGGGCCGTACACACTACACTCTGTAGTACCTTGCGGTCGGATGCCAAGCAGTTGCCATACCAGGTGGTGATGCAACCAGTCAGGATGCTCTCGATGGTGCAGCTGTATAACTTTTTGAGGATCTGAGGACCCATGCCAAATCTTTTCAGTCTCCTGAGGGGGAATAGGCTTTGTCGTGCCCTCTTCACGACTGTCTTGGTGTGTTTGGACCATGATAGTTTGTTGGTGATGTGGACACCAAGGAACTTGAAGCTCTCAACCTGTTCCACTACAGCCCCGTCGATGAGAATGGGGGCGTG